CCCCGGACCCCCCTGTCTGCAGGCGGGTGGGTGGGGGATTTTTCTCCGGTAGCAGCCGCTTCCAACGGCTTGTCTTCCCTCCTCAGTCAGGCCGAGATCTGCAGCAGTACCAGAGTCAAGCGAAGCAGCTTTTCCGCAAGCTGAACGAGCAGTCCCCCACCAGATGTACTCTGGAAGCAGGAGCTATGGCTTTCCAGTAAGTATTTGTAGGCGTGATGGAGGAACAGACTTCTGCCTCTGTGGAAATAAGTGAAGGCGCTTCTGGGTCAGGGTGAGGATTTGTTAGAAATCGGGCTGCCTGAAAGAGGATGAGTTATTCAGCTATTTGCCCTGCTAGCTGAAGTGTAATAGCTCCTCGAAGGGGAGAGCGTGTGAGTTGTTACTTCTTGGCACTGCTGTCTGGCACTTGTTTTTCAGCCAGGTTCTGCCTTTGCTGAAGACCGTGTAGGTTCTGTTCCCTTTAAGTTTTTTCTGTTTGTTTGCACCCTCTAAGATACCTTCAGTGCGTCTTCTGTACTTCCTGTGTCTTGGTTTTTTTGAAAAGAGGTGTCCTTGGTAAAAACAGTCTGGCAGTACCACTGTGAGCTCCTCTTGCACAAGATTTTCCATTCTTCATTATCCTGTAAGAGTTTAGCTTTTCGTGCATTAGCTTCATGCATAGAAGCACATGGAGCATCACTGATTTTTTTTTAATTATTATTTCCTTAATACATTACAAACTTTTTACTCTCATCTTGTAAATTCAATCTTATTGTTGCCATGTGTGTTGGGTGTGTTCACTTAATTTCCTAAATTGTTTGGCAACTCTCAACTTAAAAGCAGTTTTGGCTTTCTCCAGTAGCACACTAACAGGGGAACTTGAATATAAAATAATGAAAACTTACAGAGTTCAGGTCAGACATCCTTACTCCCTAATCAATAGCAAAGGAAATGGAAAGACAAGTAAATGGAGGAAGAATTGACAGTCAGTGAAAGGCAAGAGAGCAAGCTATGTTTGAGAAAAGGAAGTGCTTCTTTACACGACAGGTAATTACCTAGCAGAATAATGCTTGAGAATTTAATCAAGCCCAAGATCTTGTCAAGAATCAGGATTATGCTATAAGCAGAAATAATTATTTTGGAAGTGTCTGAGATCAGGTGCCACATGAGATCACCGAGGCAGAATTGTGCAGTTTTGCCAGTGATGCACAAAAATTTACCACACTTGGCACCACTTCTGCCACACCACCAGCAGCCGGATCCCTCTCAATTCCCCAGCCCTGGTGACTGGGTCCATGTTTACAGCTGTATGGGTGGGAGACGGCCTTTGAATGCAGGGCAAGGTTAGCTTTAGGTCTCTGCTTCTATAACGGGGGTCCTTTAGCGAATCTCCTGTCCCGTCCCTTTCTTCAGGGATTCAGTGACATGAAAAGATGGGAACAGCAGTTTTTTGGAGGGGCAGTCTTTGGCAAAAGGCATGAGGTTTTGAGGGCAAATTTTCTTGTGGATGGCTTATTTATGATAACTGTGACAAGATTTTTTAATATCTTTTTTCTCTTGGCTTCTGGTTGCCTTTGATAGGGAGTTACAGTGGTCAGAGGACGGCCCTGATTAAAATAGTCTGGCCATCCCTATCTCCTATCAGGTTTGGGGGTTGTTGCCAGAGTTAACTGCAAAGTCCTGGTCTGCATCATCTTCTTTGTAGAAGTTCAAAGTTTCTAGAATTTAAAAACTCCCTCATTTTAAATGTTTCCATGGCACTGCAGGGGTGTAGCTCTGACTGGCAGTGAAGCCTTGGAAAAGAATCTGTGTAGATCCTGGTAAATCCCTTCTTGCGTTGCTTCCATGACGCAAGCAGACCAATGTCTGGGAAGGCTGCGCCACTTGCAGTGCCCAGGAAATGAAAGCCTCTTAACAGTTGCTGTAATGTCACTGGTTCTGACAAGGCAGGAGGACTTGGGCAAGCTCGTGTTTTGACAGCTGTCTCAAAGAAACAGCCAGGTTACCTGGCTGGCTGATAAACAGGGAAAGGAGCATTTCTCTGTGTTGCCTTAGTCCCTAGACAGGTTCCACAGGCAATTGGCGCTGGCTGCTGCAAAGCACTCAAGTGCTGCCTCTCAAGATGAGACATTAAGACAGGACCTATGTGAAAAGAAGAATACTTTCAGATCAAAAAATCTGCTGTGATAACAGTACAAGAAGGGCAGGAAATGGGGGAGTTTGAGATTTAGTCTAAAGTAATGCTGACTGATGACCGTGCTGTTGGTTAATTTAGCACATCTTTTTTTCTGCCAAATCAGAGCTCTGACTGCTGAGGGCAGCACAAACCGGGATACAGCATTTTGCAGTGCGAGGGTTACAAATGTGGCTAAGGATATTGCTGAACTTGCTGAGGTGGTGTTGGACGTTTTTAGCTTGATGAATTCAGAGAAGAGTCTAGTCTTGCTGAAATGTGAAGCTTAAGCTCCAACTGCTGAAGCAATTTCTGTCAAATGTAATGTTTAGACTTCAGCTCCAAAAGCTGTGTCACCCTTTCAGCTACAGCACTCGGTGTACACGGCTGTGCAGGTACAGAAACACCGTTGGAGTCTGCTGTGCTGTCAGTCAGTAGTTGACCTTTGGCTGATGAGTGGCTGAACTGGCTCTTACCTGTCGTGTCGAAAACAACCCTTGGCCTTTGCCATTCTTACCAGAATAAAGCTTTGCTCTCTCAAAATGATCCAGGACGATTATAGGAAACCTGCTGGCTATACTCAGTGTGCGGAAATCTGGAGTACAGAAGTTAGCAGTGGCCAACGGCAACGTCTGCACCTTGTGTGCATACACTGCCGAGCAGTTGGCATGATCAGGTGCTGTGCTGAAGCTCAGAGGCACATGCAAAGTGTAAAAGTGAGAAGCCCAATTGTGCGGGAACTCTGCTCTGTTGAGTTGAGGTTGATAAACTCGTCTGAATCCAGGGCAGAATGAGGTGTGCTTGTTCTCTGTGGTGCTCACAGATCAACTTTAAATCCACCACATCTAATATCACATCAAGGGTAAAGTAAGTGGGAAATACAGCTGAAGAGCTCCAGGCAAGCCCAGCTGGCCCAAGCAGGGATAATAGAGCCATACCGATGGGGAATGTTCCTCTGATTGCTCTCATCTTGAGTATGCTGCTCTGGGTCTCGGGGAAAACTGTCGGAATTCCTGTCTGACACAAGTCTTCCGTATTTCAAAAGACTTTCAACTATAGCTGTTCATGACTGGCTAAATCAAGCTCCAGGTGAGGATTTGTAGCAGCTCTGAGCTGTCAAGCAGGTCTCTGAGGGTGAGGGAAGAACAGGAGCATGATGTACTGTAGGATTAGTTTTACACACTGATGCAGTCCAAGCTGAGGGACGTAAAAAGGAATAAAAGCATGGGCTCATGGGGATGCGCTTCTGGAACGGATTATAGTAACTGGAGTTTCTTGCTTCTGGTTGAGTGGATCAGTTGTTATTTGAAGGCTGGCAGCATTCACACAGATAAAGGCAGGAGAAATGGATACTCCTGAGCCCAGAAACAAGTTGAGAATCATTAATTCAAAATATTTGGACCTGTTGGGGTATCTGGGGAAACAAAACAGCGTGAGAGGAAGTTGTTTTGTAAGCCTGATGCGGCTATTAACAAAATTTTAAGCTACTTATTTAACTACAGTGCCCTCGTGACTGGGTCAATTCTTTAATACACTGTTAATCTAACTAGATTAACTAGACTACTACATAATGGCATTATGCAGAAAGTCAAAGGAAGGTAACATGAAAGTAACACTTAAATTCCACCCTGAATATTGTAGATAAATACTCAAAAATATTCAAAGATGTATGCAGGGCTGTCTACTGTCTCCACTCACTTGGTTTTGGTGGAAACATTGTTGTCTTTATTTTTCTATTGGCTAAATGAGGAGGGAAATGTAGTTGGAAATGTGCAGCAGCACACAGTTGTAGCAAAACCTAAATAATGTCAAGATTGGTTCTATCTTATTCCTTATTTCAGTAGCCTTTTTAACTGAATTATAATGAAAGGCCCCTGTTCTCAGTGCTGATGGAGGCACTGGAGCTCACACTGAAACAAGGTCACTAAGCACTAAGCCTCTGCAAAAAAATACAGATTAGATGCAATGGGGATGGGGTGCTGGGAGATGGAGAATAGAACCTCTCTGCACATTCAGCTGCAGGACAAACCAAACAGCATTACACAGCAAGAGCAGCTCCTGTTCCAACATACGTTTTGGAGCTCCTAACATAACAGCTGAAGAGGCAGTAGCACAATCATCCTTACCCATGGCAAACCTGTAGGGGAAGTCACCAGAACCATTCAAACACCAATATTTTTCTCCAGCTCCCTTTGAGGTCACGCATGTGGCTAGTGACACTCCACCAACAGGCTGGTGTTGGGGGGGAAAAGGGATACCCAGCCCTCCAAAACGGAAAGCAGGAGCTGGCAGTCACTGGGTGGCTTTTTAGCATGCTGAGACCAAATCCTTACATGTGTCCTAATCTCAGGGCAGATCTTCCCATTTATGGGCCTCAGGTACTTGGCTGTGCTGTGTTGTCTTAGAGCTGTGTTGGCCACTTTCCCCTCTACTCTGAAAAACTTTCTTGTGCTTCCCTCCTTCTGACTGCAGCAGGGAGAGAGGGTGTCCTCCCTTTTTTACTCCAAAATTGTAACTCTCTTGTTGCTGGTATTTTGTTAAGCTAATGCTACCCATAGGCCGACTTTTGTTCCAGAGAAGTCAAAATTCAGGGCTGTTGGCATGGGTGTAGGGTCTGAGGCTACAAGAAAATATATTTTAGGTAAAGAAAAAAAGAGCCGTTACTTTCTAGGAAGGTTTATACCTGATCCAAACATGGCAAACTGGAAGGCCCTGTAGCCAGTTCTCATTGCCTCATAGGAATAAGGGTATGCAGGGTGGTGTTTGATAGGATAGCTTCAAAATTGCTTGATTAATACTCTGCTATTCTTCCAGCTACATCATTGAGAAAGGAGTGTGTTACCTGGTCCTGTGTGAAGCTGCATTCCCCAAGAAACTGGCCTTTGCATATCTGGAAGACTTGCATTCAGAGTTTGATGAGCAGCACGGCAAGAAGGTCCCAACGGTTTCCAGGCCCTATTCCTTCATTGAATTTGGTGAGGTCCCTCTCCTTGTGCCTAGTTAGGAAACTTCTTGCGGGGGGGGGAGCAACAGCCGCAGGATCCTCTCCAGCTTGGTCTATGGAATTGACAGTTCAGCCTCTTCTTGGCACTAGTGTGTTTTGAGCAAGAGAAGTAGGGAAATGGTAAATGTCCTTTGATTCATATTATTTCCTGCTTTACGTCTCTTGGCCTCGCCCCAAGGAATATTTGCATGCAGTCTGCTGGCTGCCTCAGCAATGCTCCCGCTCCTTCAGCAGCCTGGCTGCTCTGTGTTAGGTGAGAATCCCCCTGATAGCCCCATCTTGTTCCAGATACCTACATTCAGAAAACCAAGAAGCTCTACATTGATAGCCGGGCGAGGAGGAACCTGGGCTCCATCAACACAGAGCTTCAAGATGTGCAGAGGATTATGGTGGCCAACATCGAGGAAGTCTTACAGCGAGGAGAGGCACTTTCAGGTACAGGGAATGGATGATATTTGGCGTATGGTTCCTTGTCCCCTTGGTCAGCTGAGTGGGTAGAGCATACCGGAGGGAAAGGCTTGGTAATCCCTGAGCCTCCTGAGAAAAGCAATGGACCCAGTAGGTGTTTCAGTGGGACTGGTTGCATCCTGAAGCACCTGGCAGGTACTGGTGCCTCTTTTGGGCGAGACCAGCATCTTACCAGCTTGAGTGGCTCTCATCCCAGCAGGACAAGCACTAGAGCACTGCAGATAAGCACAGGGCATGCTGCCATGTGAAACTACTGTGCTTCCAGCTGCTCTGGAGAAACTCGTACAGTTAATGTAATATTTGGTGAACATCTGGTTGGGTTAATTTTGATTAACTTCTCTCCCCTTTCCCTTCAACAGCTCTTGATTCAAAGGCCAACAACTTGTCCAGTTTGTCCAAGAAGTACCGTCAGGATGCGAAGTATCTGAACATGCGTTCCACTTACGCCAAACTTGCGGCCGTAGCTGTGTTTTTTATCATGTTGATCGTCTATGTGAGATTCTGGTGGCTGTGAGCCGGTTGCAGTCACGGAAGAGGGAAAGCCGGTAGCCTGGCAGGTGTATGTGTGCAGGACACTGTTCACGGGGGATGTGCATTAGAATCCACACAGGACCGTCACCTTTACGGGAGTGTCCTGAAATTGTTGGGTGACACCTGACTACTACATCTTTTAGTGAAGCCTAACAATAGGTGTAAAGGCTTGTTGACTACAGGCTTTTCCTCTGAGGCAGTTTGCACTAGGGTACTGCAGGGTTTGGCCTCCCACGGTTCTGCCCCCCGCCTCTCCCGGGGGCGTACTCTGGGAACAGTCAATCAGTGCGGTTTAGCATAAATCACATACGTCCCCCTGTTGAGTAGCTCTAGTGGGAACTGGACTCTAATGAACATTCCTTGTGTTGGCAATGTTTGCTTTTTTAGAACCTGGGTCTGCAGTTATTTTTTTTTCTTTTTTTTTTTTTTTTCAGACAAGACTCCCCTGTTTGAAGGCAAATACTGCATTGTACATATAATAGCTTTCACTTCTGTCAGAATAGCTATTGTTGAGTTTTCTATGTCTGACATCTTGGCTTGTTACACTTTAAATTGCTTTAGGAAGAAATGGATGTTAAATTATGCCTTAAAATACATTCTGTGTAGTACTAGGAGGGGCAATGAAAGGCTTCTATATTACTGATTCCTACACAGTTAAACTCCAGGTTTGTTAAGTGTCCACTTTCCATCTCCTGACAGCTGTGTATGAGAGTAAGTTTCCATGTGAACAGGGTGGGTAATTCAAGTGATGTTGGGGCGGTCACAATGCAAACTATGTCAGCACTCTGTGTTTTCCCCTTCTATCTGCAGATTCACTACATTATTTCCTTCCTTTTTATAACTGTGCTTTCCTTCCCAAATGTGTAAAAACTGCCAGCATTTCATCTCTGGGATGCTTGTTTTCTTTCTCCCTCCTTCCCTCACCCAAAACAACCAAAAAAACCCAAAACTCTGAATGTTGTTGTGAAGAAAAGGCAGTGTTTTCTTAAAGAACACTTTAACTTTACATGAAGGATTCGAAAGGATAACTTTAAAACAGTGGAATCCTTTGGAAACACCACCTTTTTTTCCTGTGTTCACCCTCTCCCTACCTCACTTGGGAAGTTGAAACTGTAGGTGAAGAAAAACTCATTATGGGGCAATAGAATATAGCTTCTTTCTCATGGGCCAATTTGTATATTTCCAGTGTAATGTGATTTTTTTTTTATTAATTTTTTTGGTCCACCTGTGCTAAGAATAACATTTTATCAGTCAGCTCTTGTTTTTATTTAAAAAAAGAAAAAAGAAACCCCACAGCTCAGGCACTTTTCTGCACTCAAGTGTCTGCCACTTGGTAGGAAGCAGGCAGTGTCACAGAAAGAAGTTTCAGGACTCCCCAGCACCTTTTACAAGCACATAATCTTGTGTAGTTCTGGAAGTATAAGCTGTGACCTGGAAATGTTTCCTGCCACTGCGTAGGAAACAGGGAGCTGTTGTCCTGTCTGGGAACTCTCCCCACCTTGGCACTGTGTTGGACTGGCAGGGAAGCAGTTAGCACTCGTCCACCGATAAACCTAGCAAATCTGATCTGCCGTGTAGTCTAAAATCATCTGGTTTCTGCATGATGCCTCCAAGTGTTACTTTGTAGATTGCTTTATTATTATTATTGTCATTACTTTTAATCCTTTTAAGTGGTGTCCCTAACAGGTGAATGTCCCAGTGATGTAGGTCTGTGTAATGTAGGTGCTGAAAGGTGAGCGGACACCGACCTTACGTGGATTGTTGTGATTGAGGGGAGTGACTTTTCTGCAGCCAAGGGCAGCTCGGTGAGCAGTTGCCTCCTGCAGCCCCAGTGTCAGCAGTGAAATAAACGCTTCTGAAAAATCCCCTTTGCAGCGTGGAGTTTCCCATGTCTTGTTCTGTAACCTCAGAGGTTGTTTTCTTTCTTTCCAGGGGCGTAAGAGGGGAAAGGCCCTGTAGCTGAAGCCATGTGGGATCAGGGCTCCTTTTGGGAAGCAGGGCTAATTGAAAAACATCATCTTGGCTATTTTCTGGCAAGGAGACTGTACTTTG